GACTTTGGCCAGAACATATACGATATTGTACAATTTTAGCAAAAAAAAGAATTAATTTGGGCATTACCATTTGGTTTTGCAGCATGGTTAACTGGTTTAGAATTTGTTGATAGAAAAAATCGTGAACGTTCAAGTGAAACTATGCGTCAAGTAACAAAAAAAGTTCAAGATAAATCATTAAGATTATGGGTTTTCCCTGAAGGTAAACTATTCAGATAAAACTAAGACTCTCTATAACTTTCCTGTAAAACTAGGAACACGAAATATGGCTGATACATTTCTTCCATTTAAATTCGGAGCTTTTCGTCTAGCAATTGAAGCACAAGTTCCTATTGTACCAGTCGTTTTCTCATCATATAAACCAATTTATAATGTTGATAAAACAAATAAAAATTATTATTGGCGTCAAGGTTGTGTTACAATAAAATGTCTCGAACCAATTAATACAAAAGGTATGACAATTGAAAAAGATCTACAACAATTAACTGAAATGACTCGACAACGAATGATTGAAGCATATCAGACGATTCAAACAACTACTAGTCAAAACAAAAAGAATAATTAATTTTATCAGATAATCAAGTATAAAAATAAAAATAAGTCATTAGAATTTAGTGAGCCAAAAAAAAACAGTTTGCTTTCCCCTTGTATTGTTTTCTTTTCTTCTTTTATTATGAAATGAATGAGTATTGAATAATCTTCCTTTTATTATTTTGTGTGTCTATGTAATTTATCCGAGATATATTTATATATATACATATGTGTTACAGTGCATCTATTTATTTTTATTTTATCATTTATAAGAAAATATTATATTAATAAACTAGATACATATATAAATAGATTTTCATTTATATGGGTGTGAGTTATTAAGAACACGTTGGATACAAAGAGAAAATCGCCTAATGTAAAATTTTTATACGAAAGTATATTTTGCCTTTCTATGAAACATTCTCGAATCATTCAGTTAGAATTAATTAAATCATCATCGAACATCCTATGTAAATTGCTAATTTGATGAACAAAATTTATAAAGACCGAGCCTACCAAGTATGGTAAATATTGTTAATGGAATGAATGGTGAACAGTTATTCTGTTCTTGTTTACGTGTATCAATAATGGCAAAAAGATATTTATATGGAAATTTTGTAATTTATTTTAGATGATTAAATTGATATCTATGTTAAATTACATTTATCTAACGAATCGAATAAAATTCAAAATAATTACTATTGATATTGTCGAAAGTCTTATTGATGAAGAGCGAGATTCCCAAAATCTTCTTCTATTTCATTGTTAATAATACTCAAATTCGTTTTTGAGAACTAAGAATTGAAAGTACTAGAATATGACTCTATACTATTTTGTTACATCAAATCAATTTTGGAGTGTTCAACATCAAAGATTTTAAAAATATATAGTTCAGTTTTAATAAAAGATCCTCTATTTTTAGATGAGTAAAGAGGAAGAAAAATCTCATCAATTATCGAATAACAGTGAAACAACAGCATTAACACAGGAGAATTCTATTGAAACTAAGTAATATATATTAACTAATTGTTCTGCTGTTGTTACTTTAAAGATAAATAGTTATTTTGGTTTTATTTAATTGAACAGAGTAGTATCTTCATCTATCATCAAAGGTGTATGTGATGATGATTTACTATATGGAAAATGTGAAAATATCGACTGTGATCAATTACATCTTACAGAACGTATTCAACTCATTGATGGTCATTTTCATGATCGATTACTTAATGACAATTGGTCATGTACTATTGAATTATTAGAAAATATCGAACAGTTCATTGGTATTACAAATGTTCATAAATCTTCAATGTGGGATACTACACATTCTGTTATACCCGAATCTCTTAAATCTAAAGTAAGTTTGTCAACTTTAATCAAGAGGACAGTAGTCGGAAATAAAACATCAAGACAGTATGTTAGATTGATACATCTTTGAAATTATGCAATCAGCTATCTGTTCTATTCGGGACAAAGACATAACGTACTAAGTATCCCGGACACCTGGTAGTTTATCCAGGTGTTCGGAGTTGACCGTTTTTTTTACCATTTTTATCGAGAGTCCGTAAAATATGTTGGTCAGAAAATTATAATTTTAAAAAATACAGGGAAATCAGAACGAAATGCTCGACAATGTATAAAGTATTGTCAGGAAATCGAGGGACGGTATGGATGTGGATGTGGATGTGTAGTATGAGCGAAGAATGACTTATACACCCACATCCACGCTCACTCTAACACTCTGCTTTTTTAAATATTTGTCATTCCGAAGATTTTGTATGTTTTTATATGTCGGGAAATCGTAACGAACATCTTTTCAGAGAAATCGTAAAAAAATATTGGTGCGTTAGGTCTCTTTCCCTTCTATTCCATCAAATATATTAATAAAAACTATTCTTTTTTATTCCAAGATTCGACTTTATGAAGCATATGGTATTCATCCACGTTATTTAGGTAATAATCCTCATAATGATTTACTTCGTCTTCGTGATTTAGTGCAAACACGTCCAATGGTTGCTATTGGTGAATGTGGTCTTGATTTACTTAATAATGAACAGTTACCATTACAAATTGAAATATTTATATCACAAATTAGATTAGCAAATGAATTTCATTTACCACTTATTATTCATTGTCGGCAATTAGATCAACAATTATTTGATATTTTAAAAACAACAGCAATAGATTCATCAATGAAAATTCAATGGCATTGTTGTCATTCGAAAGGTACATCAATTTATCGTGAATTTTTAAATTATTTTCCATCGAGTTTATTAAGTATCGGTGGAATGTGTTGTCATCCAGGTGAAAAACATTTACAAAGATTAGTTAAAGAATTATATGAAACAGAAAATCAACGAAGATTTGTCTTTGAAACAGATTCACCTTATTTAAAATCATCATCATTATTAATTCATACACAAAATAATTGCCCAATATTAGGTACATTAGCAGTTAGTGCTTATGTAACAAAAGATATTTTAGGAAATGATCAATGGACAAATAATCTGAAAATAAATACAAATATTCTTCAACAATTTTTTAATTTAAGATAAAAATTTTGTTTTTGTGATAGAGCATGTTTGATGAATAGTATATATCATGAAGGATTGTTTTGTAACTTTTAGATGGCACAAGATTCATTGGCATCTAATAAATTTCGTATAGGTACTGTTAATGTTCATTCTTTTCGAAGTCCATTCTCTCGAAAGAGTAATGCAAAAGTATTAGCATCAATTCTTGCTCCATACAATCTTGATGTACTCGCTGTTGAAGAAATGCGTAATGATAATAATAATTGGACAACTCTTCATGAACAATTATCATTAAATTATTCAGTTGTAGGATTAAGTGGTGGATTATCTTTTGGTAATGCTATTGCTTCTCGTCATCCTATCGTTGAACATTCTAATCAAATAACACAAGAACGATATACAGGTGGTAGTCGAGCAATGTTACAATGTCGTCTGGGTGGTAATCATTCTTTCGTTCAAAATCGTACATTTGCTGTTACACATCTAGATCATTTTGATGAAGATGATCGTTTAACACAAATTAAAGAATTTATTCCAGATTCTAATAATATAAATATTCTTCTAGGTGATATGAATGCATTAACACAAGAAGATTATTCCGATAAATATCTACATGATATAATTGTTAAAAAACGAGAATTAAATGGATGGGAACAACCAAGATTTGAACTTATGCATTTATTAACTAATGTATGGGGTTTTGAGGATACTTTCCGAAAAATGAATTCAAAATTGAAAGATACACATGTTGTAACATGTTCATATGGAACTCGTATTGATTATATATTTCATCGGCCTTTATTAAATGATGAATGGGAATTAACGGAATGTTTTATTGTAGATACACGTCGATCAACTGATCATAATGCTATTGTTGCTACTTTTGAACGTAAATTGTAATCTTTTTTGTTTTGACTGACATTTTTGTTGAGCATACATTGCCTATATGTACAATAACTGATGCATAGATAAAAAGTTTTAACAATAGTTTATATAACAAAAAGGCCATGAGAGAATGTCATTCAATGGAACAATAATAGATCTATCAATAGCTTGTTAATCACGTTATCATTACTTAAAAAAAGATATTTTTTGTTCTGTCTGTATTTATCCTACACTTACGTAAAACAATTTGCTTGAACTTTACTCGGAGCAAATGTTCTTTGCATGTCAAACTTTGAGATCATTGTCACGGATACTATTTTCTTCATTAATAATCATATGCATATAATTCTTCTAGCATTTATATCACTGTATATTTTCTCAAGGATAAACTCTAGAATCACTTAGTCAGAGAATAGAGGCGAGTAATTAATAACATATCATTTCAAATGATATATCCTAAAAATAACTGTCTAATCATATGAGTTTTTAAATGAACATCTAAGAGATGGATAGAAAATATCATTGAAGTCATCTTTGTGTTTATTATATAGAAGTTAATCGAAAACAGTCAAGTTAAGTGGGCTCCAAATTTGAAGTTTACGAGTTTTTGATAACTTGTAGCTTGTAACTGTGTCCTTTTTTTCATAGGCATCACAAGTCGACTCAGCACAGTCCAGAGTATCTATTAGAGCAATGAAAAACAGATGATTACAGTTTTTAGGTAGAGTTTTTCGCGAAAACTTAGACATCCGTAAACTCCAAATCTGAAGCATACTTGACTTGACCATCGAAAATTTATCTGATTATTCATTCATGAACAAACTTTAATCGTAAATCATGTTGTTCTGGTTATTTCAATAGTATGTCGTTTTATCCTAATTTGATTTCTTAACGTTGAATGAAGAATATGTTATGAGATTTTTCATATTATCTAATACGTACTGGTACTTACATCTAAAAGAAAAAGTTTGTTTAATTACAATTGACTAATTGTATACAAATATAATTATTGAACAAAAAAAAAGAATTGTTTTTTCTTGCAAATACCACACATGTATGAGAATTCTTTAGTTTATCAAAAGAAATAATCTGTATAAAACAACGTTTGTTTTTCTTCTTATTTATGTAATACAGAAATTGATTGAGCATTTTCGTCTTGTGGTTCTTGACGTGTTTGTGTGACCTGTAATAACTTTGAATAATGATGTTGACGACTAAAAATGCATAAGATATGAGAAGAATTCATTCTATAATATATATATACATACATTCTTTGAAAACAACATATAGTTAAAGAAAAGACGATTGCGATTATCGATATTCCCAATAGAACAGATAATAATCGACTAGTTCGATTAATAACTGAATTTTGATGAGAATGAGTCGTTGCATAAGTTATTGTAGTTAACAATTGATTATCATGCAAATGTTCAACATCAATTTTAGCTTGAAGAAGTGCACCTAAAAATAAATTATTCATTTCAAAATAAAACAAAAATATCAATACTTGTAAGAAGTGCTGTATAATTATATATTGGATTATCATCTGTTTCATTTAGTAATGGTTTATCAGCAGTAATAGTCATACATATTGATGATGAACCATTTTGAATAGTATCAAGTAAATGAATATTATCGATACCATAACTATTTTATTTTTGAATAAAATTCTATATGTAAGAATATTTAAACATACTCTGCATCACAATCTGTATCATGTCTACACAACTTATTTAAATGTTCAACAATTGTTTTTCGAGTTTTATTCCACATATATTCTTGATTCCACTAATATTATAAATAATATGTAATAATACTTTTTTTTAAAGATATCTTACTGATTCTATCGTAAACCCATCAAATGTAACTGAAACTGGTGATGTAGTTTCAACCGTATCTATAAATATCATAATAATATTGTTATTATAACGTGTTTCTTTTTATTTTACCTGTATGTATAATTTGTGTAATAATTAATAATAAAATAAATAACATCATCTTATAATTATTATTTGAACTTTATGTATATGGTTATCTAAATAAGTATCTATGATGATGGGATGTTATTTACTTTGTTCTTCGTATATGTTGATGACCATTAATGTAGCATGGAAGATGATGATGATGATTTATCTTTTCTGCTATTAAGAGAAATACTGTCCAATATAAAGAAAGAAGAAGAGAATATATTTTCTCTTGTCTTCGATCTATCGAACATACACATACATCTACATATTGTGATCCTTCTCTCTAGAGTTTGTCTATTCATTGATATGAATTATTGATGCATTGAATTGCATTCTTTTTTTTTAATTTATGTAGCGAACATCTGAGCAAAAATCAATCATATAAAATAAATAAGAAAAAAAAATTGCGAATATTATTTAAATATGAATAATATTATATTTAATGAAATAATAATCATCGATTGTAAGATTCTAACTATCGGATGAATAAATCTCTTGTTCGAGTTAATAATCATTCCAGATGTTTTACGATATCAAACAGAATTGGTATTGAGAAAAAAATTAACGTTTATGCTATAATGAACAATACTCTATGTAGTAAAAGACTACGGCTTACTACTAAAGGTCTTAATTAACAAGCATAAAAATTTCTTTTGATTATATTTAATTATTAATCTCGATGAATATCATAATCGATTTTAATTTATTCAAATGATAGTAAAGTATATGTATACGCGTATGAGACGCACATTTTAATACATTATAGAAAAATATTTGTTTTGCAATCTAAATTATGTTTTTAACGTGTTAAAATATACACTTATTATGTGTAAAAACATTGTATTTGTCGTTATTCGTCTGACTGGATTAAGAAGGGACACACGAACTTTTAAAGTACACCATATTGATTTGTATTAAAAAATCCGAACCGTACAATAAATTCATATAGACTTAGAATAGAAAATTTCAATTATTTTTTTTAATGCAGTGGATTACATTTCGATTACTTTTAGTTTATCGCGACACGATTATATTTGCTTTACTTTTCTTTTCTTTTCGATTCTCTAAGACATTATATTATCTATGCACTTTTAAATATTATTTAAATACCAATAGGATTCGTACAAGTGCAAAATCCATCTTATTCTCCTTGTATTTTTAATCAAACGCTTAGTAGTAGTAAGTTTTATTTTCTAATGTATTAATACACATATTTATCTAATTCAACATCACGTGACTTTTACTGACACAAGAGTTATATTAATTTATTGTCTACGCATCGTTGCATTGTTTATCATAAAACTATATAATCGAATATAAAAATTACCATATTCGCTAAGAACACACTTTATATTTTATGTTTGTTTTTGACATAAATGATTCGATTTTTCTTTTAGTCAATCGAATAACAATAAATTCGATTAGATCACGTTTAGAAATTATTTCTATTATAAAAATACAACTTCGAAATATTTTTTAAAATTGTTATCAGTCCGTTTTCTTTGTCTTGTAATCAATATTTATGTTTGTTATGATTACATTCTGCTTTGTTGTCTGCAAACGAGTCGACCTTGTCACGTTTCTTTATCTTTTTTTTCACATACATACTAAAATTTAAATGAAAAGTTAAAACCCATTTGAAAATACAAGGGCAAATAGTAAAAAGCATATTGATTTATTATTCCTTCATGAATCTATCTTGTTTTTTTCTTCACATGAAATTCAGTATATATGTTAACGCACATTGTCTATATTTTATTTTCGTTTCTAGATTAAATATGTCGTCGTCATGTTGTAAAAAGGGACCAGGTCATGCTAGCCCACTTGAAGCAATGCAAAATGGTGAACATGAAAAAATCTTATATCTTGCAATGGTTTCATGTCAAGATGATCAACCTGATTATTTAAATACCATTGATGTTGATCCAAATTCACCTACTTATCAACAAGTTATAAGTCGATTATATTCCCCAAATATAAACGATGAATTTCATCATTTTGGTTGGAATGCATGTTCATCATGTCATGATGATTGTAGTAAACAACGACGATTTATTGTATTAGGTGGTTTTAAATCTTCGAAAATCTATATTATTGATACAGCTAATGAAACTAAACCAAGTATACATAAAATAATCGAAAGTGATGAATTAAAAAAATTAGATTTAAGTGCACCTCATACAGTTCATTGTTTAGGTAGATAAGAAATTTTTAGAAATAAATAAAATTAATTCGATTTAATTTATTAGGTAGTGGAGATATAATGATTTCATGTTTGGGAAATGCTCAAGGTGAATTACCAGGTGGTTTTGCATTACTTAATGAAAATTTTGAAGTTACCGGTCGATGGAATGATAAAAATGCTCCAGATGCTGTTCAATTTTATTATGATTATTGGTATAAACCAAGATATAATATAATGGTTAGTAGTGAATGGGCAGCTCCAAATGTTTTTGAAAAAGGTAAAAAAAACAAAGAAATTCTATTTGTTAAATTATAGATCATTTATTTATTTAGGATTTAATCCAAATGATGTTGCTTTAAAGAAGTATGGTCAGTCATTACATTTTTGGGATTGGTCAAAACGTGAATATTTAAAAACAATTGATCTTGGACCAGATGGATTAATTCCACTTGAATTACGTTTTTGTCATAATCCAACAACTCCTATTGGTTATGTTGTCTGTGCATTAGGTAGTTCAGTATTTCGATTTTTTCAAGATAAATCCAATGAATGGCAAGTAGAAAAAGCTATACAAGTCGAAGCATTAACTGGAAATGATGGACAACCAGTACCAGCTATTATATCTGATATGCTTATTTCATTAAATGATAAATTTAGTATGTTTATTATATATATATAGAAATTATCAATTTAATTTTGATTTTATTTAGTTTATTTTTGTAATTGGTTTCATGGTGATGTTCGTCAATATGATATAAGTAATCCAGAAAAACCAAAATTAACTGGACAAGTTTGGCTTGGTGGTTTAACTAAAACTGACAATGATTTTGAAGATAATCGTTCAATTCATGGTGGACCACAAATGATTCAATTATCACTTGATGGTAAACGTTTATATGTAACAAATTCTCTTTATTCATCATGGGATGATCAATTTTATCCTGGAATAAGAAAAGATGGATCTTATTTAGCAAAAATCGATTGTGATAGTGAAAATGGTGGTATGAAACTTGACCAAAATTTTTATATGTCATTTAAAGATGAACCTAATGGTCCAGCACGTGCTCATGAAATGCGTTATCCAGGTGGAGATTGTACTTCGGATATATGGAATTAAATATATTCTTAGTTTTCGGATTTTATATTAATAAATTTTAGTTGGTTGATGAAAGAAATAAATACAATCGATAGTTTTAACAAAAAATCTTATTTTCTTACTTTCATTAGAATTATCATATAAAGAAATTCATCTATAGAGTGGAAAGATAACATGTTAAAAGAAAATAATATGAGAACCTATAAAATAAGATGCACAAGTATAACCTTTCAGATATCGTTTTAACATATTCTTATTATACTGATTGTCAGACGCATGAAAGGCTAAAATATTAGAATTATTGAATATTAAATTAAACACACACAGGTTTGTTTTTACGTTTGTTAACTCAATATTTGCATTTAGTTTTTTGATGGTACAGGATAACATTATAATATATACTTGTTCACGGATTAGATATTACCTGAAAAAAAATAATACTTGTTTTCTGCTCAACGAACTTTTTAGGTATTCTATTCATTTAATATGAATGATTTTACCAAAGGTATGCACTATCCTTTTTTACTGGAACAGAAAGAATAATTCGTTCTATTGATAAAATAAACTTTTTCTCTTCTTCTATTCTTCTATGTTTTTGTTAAGTATCTTTCTTTCTTATCTAACACAGCGAAACTCTACTTGTTCAGACATGATAATATAACCGTGACGGTCTTTTCTACAATACATACCTTTTCAATGTGTATTATTTACCTTAACAGTGGGTGTTACTGGTCATATTGTATTCTCAACAAGAACAGAGTTTCAATAAAGACGCATTTTCTTCTTCATCAGCTTTATTTTACTTTCAAAAAAAAATACAGAAAGAAAGTATAAATTCTTTTTATTGCGTTCGAAGTTTGCTCTGTACATTTTAAGATTGGGATGATTTGTTGGTAATGATTGTTGTCCATTTTGTACAGCACGTTCATAAAATGAATGAGCTTTTGAATAGGTGCCCATATTCTCATATACTAAGCCGATGTTGTTATAGGAAATGCCCAAATCAGGATGATTGGGAGGAAGTGATTTTTGTCGAATTCTAAGGGCTTCTTCATGAGATAAAAGCGCTCTTGGATAATCACCCATGCTGTCATACACATTACCGATGTTGTTATAGGAAGCACCCAAATCAGGGTGATTGAAAGGAAGTGATTGTTTTTTGATTTCAAGGGCTTTTTCGTGAGACGAAAGTGCTTTTGGATAATCACCCATGCTGTCATACACAATACCCATACCCATGTAGGAAAAAGCCAAATCAGGATGATTGGATGGAATTGATTGTTGTAGAATTCCAAGGGCTTTTTCAAAATAAGAAAGTGCTTTTGAATAATCACCCATATAGTTATATACCAAACCGATGTTGTTATAGGAATAAGCCAAATCAGGATGATTGAAAGGAAGTGATTGTTGTAGAATTGCAAGCCCATTCTCAAAATAAGAAAGTGATTTTGGATAATCACCCATTTTTCTATACACAATACCGACTTTGTTATAAGAATCACCCAAATCAGGATGACTAGAAGGAAGTGATTGTTGTTTGATTGCAAGGACTCTTTCATGAAATGAAAGTGCTTTTGGGTAATCACCCACGTTACTATACACAATACCGATATTGTTATAGGAAGCACTCAGATCAGGATGATTGCAAGGAAGTGTTTTTTTGAAGATAGCAAGTGATTTTTCATAATATGCAAGTGCTGCTCCATATTGTCCTTCATCATCTTTGATCGAACCTAGTTGATGATAAATAGGTGCCTTGTCATTTTCATCCGTTTGATGAAGTAAAACTTCATAAACTTCTTGAGCCTTCTTAAATTGTCCCATTTTCTGTAGCAGCAATCCTAATCTCTCCCATCCTGTCCAACTTGAAAAAGTCTCTTGCCGGATCCGATGAGTAAGAGTTCGAAGGTCTTGGTCGTTGTCATTGGTCAGTATTAAATTCACTTGATAGAGATGATTGTTTCCATCCATTGGTTTAATATCCCCAATGCGAAAAATGGTATGCATAGAAAAGAGAACTTCATCTTCTGTATGAAAATAATTAACATCACTAACACAAGCAAATGGAGTTGTTGAATACATAGGACTAATTGATATAATAAATAAAACTCCAACAAGATCAGGATTTGCAGCGGTTTGTCGGACAAAGTTACGTGAAACATCACGATTTTTACTTGTGGATAAAAAGTTATTAAATGAAAGAAGTCCACCTTTATTTTTCGTCATTTCGATGAAATCTTTTTTTGAAAGACCTTGTCCACGATAAACTGTAAATGTTTTACCTGCTTGATGGCCACCAAATTGTTCTGAATGGAGTCGTTGAATATCACGTATTAAATCATTAATAAAGAAGCCCATTCGAATAATTATATCAACATCCATCAATCCTAATGCCTGATTCAACATATGATATAAAAATGCATTCCTTGTATACCACCATGTGGGTATCCTGTTTTTGTATGTTGTTTGTAATTGATTAACATTTTTTAAGTCATTTTCGTCATCACCATATACATCACGACAATAAATAATAAATTCTTTGAAATGTTTCTCTTCGAAATTGATGGTTAATAAGATCTCTTTCAGGATCTGAGTATACATAAATGATGGATCTAATTGATCGAATTTCTTGTTTGATGCCACAAAACTAATCGAAATAGAATTTTGCTCACATTGGTGAACAGCTTTTCTAAGAGCTTCACAGATTGATGTTATATCTGTGAAGACTCCTTTTATTTTAGACCATTTTTTGGTCCATTGCTCATGCGATTCTTGGTTATTATAAAAAATTAAAATGGTATCTACTTGAAACATATTATGCACACGAGGGACAATATGTTTACCAAGTGAACCAGAAACAATCATGCATACTTTATTGTTCGTAATGGTTTGAATAAATTCAATACATTCTTCACCATCTGTAAACGTGTTTATGTTGTTAACTACACGTTTCAATTGCTTGATTGTATAATTACAATCAACACTATCACTGTCAATGCTGCTGTCCAACCAAATCAGAAGAACATTTTGCATTCTTTGCATGTTCATACGTTGATTTACAACTGCACTCGTGGAGAAACCAGACACTAGTTCAACATGTTTTGCATTACTGAATGCGGTGGCAGCTGTTGAGTTCTTATTTCCCATTTCTTTTGATGCGAATGTTTTGTATTTGACTTGTTTGGCTAAAATTTGCGAATGAAAGAATTATAAAAGTTGCTGATTTTATAAGGTCTCTACTTCCTATAGAGATTTGTGCTGTATTTTTTCAATTGGACGACACTACCTTTTTCGTTAATAATTATGGATGTTGTTATGAAAAACAAGGAAGATTAACAAAGATATTCATTAGTAATGAATAAAGAACGCAAAAAGAGTGGTTAAGTATTTTTATGATTGTTAGTCACTAAAATAATTCGTGAATAAAAGTTTTACGACGTATTTGATGAAGATAAAAAGAATCACCAAAGGAATATTTTTCGTTTTGCTTTCATTTTTGATGTTGTTGAAGATTCAAAAGCTGAAAATTGTTTTATTGTCGCATATATTATAGTTCGTAAAATTTGACAAGATAATGCTATTCAAACACAAAATACTTACATTATTTTATTTCTATAGTCAAATATAATCTATGGTCTTTTTTATTGCAAACTAAATTTTGGAAAAAAAAATGGCTCTTTTCCATAATACTTCATTTTCTTTTCATAAGTTAAAGACGACATGTATGCATGTTCTATAGCTTATATAATGTTATCAAAAATATGAAAGATCGCCAAAATAGATACATTCAAGTAAATCAAAAAGATTCCAGTACTGATATATTTTTAAAATGAATAAAATTCATAAATGTTTCTTTACGTATTATTTGTTTCCATACTAATCGTATGTTTGAAATAAACAAATAAGCTATAACGCAGTCATCTAAATGATCATTTTTACCTATTTGCCACTGAATAATAATCAGGTATAAACTTTTGTAAAGCTTCATATCTGTTTAGTTATGCTAAAATCTCCTGTGATAGACATTCACATATTTATTTTTACTTGTCAGTTTCATAAATGATTGTTCGTTTGAGAAAGCATTAACAAGTACCTGCATATAGATGAGAAAAATCTATTGTCGGCATTTCAATATCATTCAACTTTGAAAATAAAAAATTGAAAGTATTGAACAAGACTTCTTGTTTTTGAGAATTGAATTATAATACTTGTATTTATCTATTTTGAAGAAATCAATAAAATACAGAAAACAAGTTGCTTGTGTACATTTTGAAATTTTATCTTGAGTCAAAATTTATTTTTTAATAATCAATATGTTTGTATTATCTTTTAGAAGTAGCTCATATTCGACAAAAATTTATTTCTGAAAAATATCACATATTATCTTATGAAATATTTGCATAAAGTACTTAATTGTTTATAATTCGTCAAGTTATCTGTAAAATATACGTTCAGAGTTTAATACTAATAATAAAAACTTAATATACTTGTATAAGCATAAATCTTCTTTATATGTAACACCTGTATTTATATTTAATACTCTATGAAAAAAAATACAAGATGCAGTAAATAACTTAACTATATAAAACTATTATACGATATACTGATCTTTTCAAATTTTTTAAATTGAAGAATAACTCATTAGCATGTAATGATATTGTCACATAATTTTTTTTATATGTAACCATCGTTTTTTTTTGCTAGTTTAAAGCAATAAAGAGAATGCAATTTAGTTATGAACGATCATTCTATCCGCTACATATGACAGTAGAATTCAAATTAACTTTTTTTAATCAAATCAATAATCTAATTGCACATTAAATTGTACATCCGTGTATGTTTTTTTTTGTTTTTCAATATCTTCTATTTGTACTGTATCGTGAAAATATCTTTATGTTGAGCTCAAAGCAAGCGATATTTACGAACAAAAAACAAATGATGATCAGTATTTTTGAATGATTTGAACCAATTATTAAAATAAATCATGACTTTGTTTTAGAAAATAAAAGTTATGCCATAAAATATTCGATAATGGATTTAAGTCGTTATATAATATAAAAACTCCACCTCGGAGACAACTCCACCTCGGAGACCGCTGTCCGGCGGGCTCCGTGCCGGTCACAAGTCCGGATAAAGGAGGAGTGTTGGACGGAAGGGGTGCAGATACCGCCGTCTGTAAAAAGAACAAGACGAAAGAAACCAACCATGAACGATATCAGAGATAATTTATGCCGGCTCGGACGACGCCCGGTAAAACAAGGTCCGCGTCCTCTGTCGAGTGACCAGGGCAGAGTCGAAAAATTGGCGACTGGAAAGAATTCATATACGACAAATAACACGCAAAAACTAAAACTTGCTAAAAATACTCTAACAGTAGGAACATGGAATGTGCAGACATTATGGGCTACTGGCAAGCTAGAATTACTTCGAAATGAAATGAAGCGATTCAGATACGATATAATTGGCATTTCCGAAGTCCGTTGGACAGGAAAAGGTGAAACACCGAAAGGAGACTTCATCTGGTCAGGAGAAGAATCCTCACATATGAGGGGTGTGGAGTTCTTACTAAGCATTCAAGCGAAAAAGGCATTAATAGGATACAATCCAATCAGCTCACGAATAATTTCGGCACGATTCGATGCAGCACCATTCAAAATGTCAGTAATACACGTATATGCACCAACTTCCTCATCTTCAGAAGAAGATATTGAAGCATTCTACAACGATATTGAGGAAGTATTAACAAAGACAGATAAAAAGGATATACTTATTCTGACAGGAGATTGGAATGCTAAAATCGGAAATGATAATACAGATTGGAAATCCGTAATGGGAAAATATGGTTATGGCGATAGAAACGATCGCGGAGAACGCCTCCTAGAATTTGCTACAGTGCACAATCTGTACATATGTAATACAAGATTTGAACATAAATCAAATCGAAAGTGGACGTGGGCATCACCAGATGGCATTCATAAGAATATGATTGACTTGATACTCATCCAGCGTAGATGGAAGACCTCGGTCATCAACTGTCGAACGTTTCAGAGTGCAGACATAAGCTCAGATCATTCACTAGTGTTGTGCAATATTAACTTGAAACTAAAGAGCCAGCTCAACAAATCACAAAAGGGCTATAGAGTTGATGTCAACCGATTGAGAGATGGGAAAATCAAGCAATCATATAGCGCCGCTCTAGCGAAACAGCTTAAAGAGATAGAGCCAATGTGCAGTCTGGAAGAGCATGCCACAAAGATAGAGCAGGCTATCAAAACCACAACAGAGGCAACTGTACCAACAAAAAGAATAACCAAAAAACCATGGATTTCTGAAGAAACACTACAACTAGCTGATGAAAAACGCAAACTAAAACTGCTAAAAGACGTTTCCTCAGAATATACACAACAATATAAAGATCTATGCAGGAAAGTTAAGAGAGCAGCAAGACAGGACAAAGAACATTGGATCCAAGGCCAATGCGAGCAAGCTGAAAGAGGTCTAAATATTGGGAATACAAGAGAAGCATATAGCCTCATAAAAATGCTACGAAAAGAATTTGTACCTAGATTAAATGTCATACGAAGTCAAGAGGGGACAATGTTACAGTCAAATGACGAAATTAAACAAAGGTGGACACAGTATTGCAGCAGTCTGTATAAAGATCCTGGAGGTGGGGATAGGACGGTGAAAGAGCTTGAAGACATTGCACCTCCTGAAAACGAGGGCCCCCAAGATATCTTGTACTCAGAAGTACAAGCAGCGATAAGCTCATTAAAAAGAAATAAGAGTCCAGGATCAGACGGAATAACAGCGGAAATGCTACAAGCTGGGGGCGAACCGCTAGCAAAACAAATCCACAAGCTCTGTAACAAAGTATGGCATGAGGGCACAATTCCAGAAGAATGGGGCAAATCTATATTGGTACCTATACCAAAGAAAGGAGACCTAAGTAATTGCTCAAATTATCGCACGATCTCTCTTATTAATCATACAGGAAAAGCACTCTTAATAGTACTGCTGAATAGATTAAAAAACCATCTGGATCCGTACCTCTCAGAAGAGCAGGCAGGATTCAGAAAAGACAGGAGTACCATACATCAAATATTAACGCTTAGATTATTAGCTGAAAAGGCAAAAAGACAGGGCAAGAAAATATATAACTGCTTTATAGATTTTCAAAAAGCATTCGATACGATCAAACATAAAATTATTTGGGCTATGCTAAAATCTTATGGTGTTGACACAAAGATGGTCACCTTGCTACAAAATATCTACGAAAAGTCACAGTCAGCTGTTCGTATTGGCACAGACTATGGAGAGTGGTTTCGCACAGATTTGGGGACTAGACAAGGCGACCCTCTGTCACCACTCCTCTTCATCGCATATCTCGAGCGAGTAATGGATCAGGTGAGACAGAACACCTGCGGAATCAAGATTAGCGGAACAGTAATAAATAATCTAAGATTCGCCGATGATATTGACCTTATAGATGAAGACGTTAGCTCACTTCAACGCCAAATAGAGATAACTAAAACAGCTGCTGAACAAGCTGGACTGATCCTAAATATTAATAAAACCAAAACCATGGTATTTGGACACAGGAATATCGATAGCAGTGTCCAAGTAGCAGGAACCGCCATAGAAAATGTGGAAAAATTTGAATATCTAGGCAGTCTGCTGACATGGGATAATAACTGTTCAGAGGAAATAAAAAGGAGAATAGGAAAAGCGACAGGTGCAATGGCTTCTTTGAGACACATATGGAATGGCAAGAAACTGACGTTAAAAAACAAACTCAGAGTCCTAACCACATGTGTGTTCAGTGTCCTATTATACGCGTCCGAGACATGGACCTTAAGAGAAGCAGACAGGAAAAAACTATTGGCATTCGAAATGAAATGTTACCGACGGGTTCTAAGAATTAGTTGGCAAGATATGCTACGAAACGAAGATATCAGGAAGAAGATATCAAAAGAAGAGACCATACTAGACATCATTAAAAAGAGAAAACTAAGGTTATTTGGCCACATCTGCAGAATGGACGACAATAGATTAATAAAACATCTAGTGTTTGGCAAAATGGAGGGCAAAACTAGACGAGGGCGTCCATGCAGAGAATGGTTGGATGACATAACAGAGTGGTGTCAACGCAGTGGATCGGAACTGTTCCATCTTGCGCAGGACCGACAGGCGTGGAAAAATCTGATCCCGTAAAATGGTTGGCCCCAACGGGCGCTAAGCCTAAGGGACATGATGATGATGATGATAATATAAATCCATAGGTTGTTCTTTCCTTGAGAATGCATCTATTCATAAATGGAACCCTTTATATAATTGATTATCTTGGATACATCTGAAATTCTATGATTAATTTTGATCTATTTATATTAATATTGAATAAACGAATGAGAAGTTTAATCTAACCTAGAGATAAAAAATCGAAGTAATTCCTCAGTAGTACAACTTTCATATGATATAATAATTGTCTTAAATTATTCCATACAGACTGTTTATTCAGATTAAGTTATCTGTGTTAGAATAATATCGTGTAAGCACTCAGAAAAGTTAAATTATTCAACATAATAAAATAAATAATATGTAATGTAATTTTCCTTTATCTTAAAAAGTATTATGACTACTTCTTTTATTTTCGTTTCAATTATCTAGAAATGTGAAAAAGTCAAAATTCTGTTTGTGCAACGCTTCCTGTAAACGAACTAACTTCAGCTCAAAATCAGAAAGCGAATGATATTAGTTTAATTTTGATACATTCATATCGTGTTTCAATCGTTATTTTCTGATTTTTCTTTTCTAAAAGTGCAAAACTACAGATATGCTTTGCTTCATATCGTATTAATTATATCAAAGAGAAATTTCTAAAGCATTATGTTTATAAATATCTACATCGAACTGTCAAACGTTCACCAAAATATTTTCTACTAGAATTTGTTCCAAAACTATATTTGTTAACTTAACTTTCCTTCACAAATCAGTTTGAAATTGAAGAAAATTGCAGTATGACCTCTTTTACTGATGCACACGATATTCTTGCTTTGATTGAACTTTTGCTCCAATTTACTCTATGTAACTTATCCTTTTTTCTTTTTACTATAGATCTTATTCATCGTAGTACTTAAAATTTTTTGTATAAATATGCATGAAAGCTCGTAAGAGCAGACTAAAGAGTAATATAAGCAAAAAAATAAAACCTACAATAGTATATGATTCATCTTTGATATGATTCGTTCTTAGTCTTAGCAATCAAAAAAAAATAAAGGAGGCAATTCATTCATTCGATCTTGTTTGTCCATTCATAAACATCACCTGGTTGCTGTATAATTTCTATAAGGACAAGGTATAATAACAAAAATATTATATCATACTTTGGCATTCAATGAAGTCGCTAGATTTTTCTCTAGATATTTATATTTTACTTGTTTTCTAGTTTGAACTAATATGAATAGATTTAAAACTTATTTATTAGCCGTTAGACCATGGTCGTTTACTGCCAGTATGATGCCACTTTTATTGGGTAGTGCTCTTGCATATTCATATTTACGTACTATATCGATTCATATTCTATTTCTAACTTCTGTATCAACGTTATGTGTTCATGCAGCTGGTAATTTATTTAATACGTATGTAAAAAAGACAAACTAATCAACTTTTCCTCTAAAGATATTTTAAATTTTCTGTAGTTATTATGATTATATACATGGTGTTGATACTCCGCCAAGTACAAATAAAACTGGGAAAACAAATGAAATTGATAATATCGATGATCGTACATTAATCGATGGTTTACTTAAACCAAATGAAATTGTTCGACTTGGTTTAATACTATATGCAATCGGAACCATTGCCTTTGTTTTATTAACATACTATTCACCAGCAAAAGAACCATATTTAGCTTTAATATATTTTGGTGCTTTACCACTCTCATTTCTTTATACAGGAGGCATTGGTAATTATGAGTATATGAAAATAGGTTATGCATCTAAAAATCTTAATTATATTTAGGTTTTAAATATATCGCTCTTGGTGATGTACTTATTCTATTAACATTTGGTCCTATTACTGTCATATCATCCTATATGGCCCAAACAGGTCAATATAGTATCTATCCAATACTCTATGCTTTACCTTTAACATTAAGTACTGAAGCTATTCTTCATAGTAATAATACACGTGACATGGAACATGATAGATCTGTTGGTATATTAACATTATCAATAATACTTGGTAAACGATATTCTTATTATGTCTATTGTTTATTAATGTATTCACCATATGTAATTATAAGTTATATTATAATAAATATTTCTTGGTTTTGTTTTTTACCATTTTTAACAATAAAATATGCTTATCGTTTATGTGAAGAATTTAAACATGAACAATTTATTAAGTTACCTAATCGAACAGCTAAATTTAATTTTTTATTTGGTTTTCTTTATATACTTTCTATTATTATATCAAATACAGTACAAAAAGACCAAAAATTTGTTTTTTAAAAGATTTTGTTTTTTTTTTACAAAAAAATATAGTAAATTCGGGATCTGATTTTTTTTGTTGTTATAAACTAGTTGAACTTTTGTTTTTTGTATTTGTTATTATTTATTCTTAAAACAAAAAAATATATATTCTAGATATGTTAAAATTTATTTATTGATTAAAACAAAAATATTTTCTATGAACTTTCATGTCTACTACTAATATAAAAAATAATGGAGAGCAACAAACAAATTTAAATCGTTCTTCCTATGCTCATTTATTGGCTGGAGGGTAATAAAAGAAAAAGATGAAATTTTGCTAAATCTATTCTTTATAGTCTTGCTGGTACATTTGGTGCTGTATTAACATGTCCATTAGAAGTTATCAAAACTCGTTATCAATCATCACAAAATGCATTTTCTCACGAAAAAAGTTATTTGAACTTAAAATCACCTAACAGTAATACTACTATTCCATATTCAAAATTAGAAACTAAACGTCCAAGTATAATGGGTTCTCTTCGGTATTTTTGTTTTTGAGTTAATTTTTTTCTTTTTGAATCTCAAATTTAGAAATATTGTTAAATATGAAGGTGTTCCAGGACTTTTTAAAGGTCTTATTCCAAATGTAATTGGTGTTGCACCATCACGGTATAAATAAAAATATTTATCATTCGAATGATTTATTTTACGCTATTTTAGAGCTATTTATTTTTTTGCTTATGCAAATTCAAAAACATTTTTAGTTAAAAAAATGGAAAAAGAAACACCGTTAGTACATGTAACTTCGGCAGCTGTTGCAGGTAATTCTTCAATAAAAATCTTATGATTTATACATTCTATATTCAAGGTATTGCAATGTCTACATGTACGAATCCATTATGGTTTATTAAAACTCGACTTCAAATTGATCAGGGGTAAATTTAAGTTTATTTTAAATTTCTGCAACAAGAAGAAGCTTTGATTTTTGTCGGTGATTAACCTACTTGATAGATCTGTTTATTATTGATTGAGAATAACTAAAATCATAGGATATGTCTACATGCGTTTGCGCGTGTAGTATACAATAAAATGATTATTGTTGCTATTAGGAACATTTGTAATCTAAACGATGATGTTGTCAAGAAATCTGAAAAAGTAAAAATCCGGAAAATTTGACTTGAAGTTCATTAATCAGAGAAGACACAACAAGTAAAAGGTGTAGACATATTAGACAAAATCTGATAAGTTTATTTCTTCGAAGCCACCAGTAGTAAAAGTCCACCGAGAAGCTTGGCACGATCGATACCGTCTTTGTAGCAGCGGGTGTTCAGAGTGTGGATCTATAGGTATAGACTACTTTTCTTCTACATCAACATCCACACTCACACCACAAAACCTTTTGAGACGGTTTATTTTTTCTTCTCCGGATTACTTGACATATTCTAAACGATCTGATATTTTATTATTTAGAAATCTTCGTGCTGTTGATCTTATTCGTAATGTTTATCGTGAACATGGTATATGGGGTTTTTATAAAGGTATATTATCAATAAATATATATTTAAGTCTAATAAAATTTATTTAAAGGTATTTCTGCATCGTATGTTGGTGTATCAGAAACTATTGTTCATTTTGTACTCTATGAGCAAATCAAAGCTCAATTTCAGTTATTACAATCACGTCGTTCACTTGATGATACAAGTTTATATAATTTTGTATCTTATTTGACTGCTGCAGCATGTTCAAAATCATGTGCAACTATATTATGTTATCCTCATGAAGTTGTTCGAACACGTTTAAGAGAAGAAGGCAGTAAATATCGAACATTTATGCAAACATTAAGAACAGTTTATTATGAAGAAAGTGTAGCTGGATTATATCGAGGTTTATTAACACATCTTATTCGACAAATTCCGGTAAAATAAAAATTATTTCTTTAATTATTTTCTATATTGTATTCTGTTATATAGAATACTGCTATTATGATGAGTACATATGAACTTGTTATTGCATTTCTTACATCAAATTCTCTTATGTCAGCATCACGAGTTGAAGTAACAACGATACAAACAAAAAAAGTTCTATTACGTCAAGTCGATGCAGAAGCAAATGCCGTAAATGCAGTTGAATTATAAAATAATAAGATATTTTTCTATATGTTTCCTTGAATAAAACAATAAATTAGTGATTGATAAAACCTTTATCTTATTTATTTTTTTTTGTTGGTGAATCTTTATTTTTATATATACATATATATTTGTTCTCTTTCATTGTTCTTCTCAACAACCATCATGTTAATTTTTGATTATTTTAACTGAATGAACAGTATCCATGCGTTTCTTTTTTTCTCTAATAATTTCAACGAAGAGCTGGTGCTCACTTTTCTATTTATCTGCCAAACCTTGAGATATTGTATAAACACGAGTGTATTTTCTTTTGTTCAATGTATATCTTTATTTTAGAAATATGGAATCTTCTTCTCTTTTTTTTGTCCTTTGTGAAAGTTTGTTGATATTCTTAAAGAAAAAAAAACAACATCATGTGTATATATATATATACATGCAGATTTGTAACAAAAAAAAAAGATTAATAAATTGATGATGAAAATATTTTCTTATCCAAACATGAATACATATGCAATGCTTCAATAAGTTAATCTAATAGAATTTTTCAAATGATTATGACATTGATATAGATAGGAAGATAAACATCATAAGACGCTTATCCCTTATGTTCACATGACAACTATTTTGTTATCATTCATATGATGTCTACAATCATTTGTATTGCTATTCATTTAAAAAATGTTCATTTTGGTAATGTATTTGTTTTTTTCTTGTAATGTTTATATGGTAAAGTTTTTTCCGATTAGCTTCTAATTGGAAATCTTATATTGATGTGTTGTGGATGGCATAATATGGATAATAGTAAATTTCATTGTTGGCCTTCGAATGCTTCATCAGTATTAACGAGTACATTAGCACAACATGGTTATAATTGTAAAGGTAAGAATATTCTTATATTTATTTAGGTTTTATAGAAACGAATTTCCTATATTTTCAGGTGTTCATATAGATTGGATTAAACCTCCGCCGAAGCAAGGTAAACGCACTATTTTTTTTCTGTTCAAATTAAATACATTTGAATCTATTTTAGTTACTCAAGATATTCCATTTAATATATCTTATTCGATTGATTTATTACCTGAATTTTTTGATTGGGCAATTTATGAATTACCTAAACCATTATATACGTTCGTATTCTTTTGTTACTGTTTTTGTGTACTCAAAAAGTGAGTACACTTTAGAATCAGTCAATATGGCCGGCCGTCCGTCCGTTTACTTGACAAATTTCGAAAGGAGAGACAAATTTTGATGAAATTTTCTACACAATTCAGTCTCATCAAGATCTCGGTGGAGTTCGAAGTTGAACCTAATTGGACGAACCATTCTCGAGTTATTGCAAAAATACTGATATTTCCATATACACTTTTTGCAGTACACATACCTCTCGGATAAAATCCGAAGTTTTCGTATTTATTTATAATTAAAAATAACCTTTTTATGCCTTTAATTAGATTATCAAATCGAACAATGAATAATAGTCAATCATGGTATCATTGGTGTCATACACATGAATCTGCATATGATATTTCTGATCCGAAAATTGAATCTGATACTTGTTTATGGCATATTAATATTCATGCATGTGAAATTGGTAGTTCTATTCCATATTGTGGTCCATGGTAATTATTTTTCGTTGTTAATATTCTATTATTCTCTATACTACTTTATCGAAGGATACCACCAAATGGTCAAATATATCATAGTACAGTTATGGCAGGACGTGCAGGACGTAGTAAGTTAGAAAAAGATAATCGTTGGAATTAATAAAAAAATTATTTATTAGTTTATGAAAGTACTGTAGTTGTACCAGTATTTGGAATAGTAGAAATTATTGCTCATTTTAAAGTTGGTATAGCAGATTGGATACATATTGCTTTAGTTAGTTCAAATATTCAAGTTAGTCGTAAAGCAAGTAAGTTATATAACATAATTTTTTCAAGCTTTTTTCTAATTGTTATAAATTTTAGTTTGTGGAGATAAATTTTGTGATATAAAATATGAAAATTGTTCAAATTGTCCATTAGATTGTGGGAAATGTCCGTTAAAACCTATTCATATCGGTTTTATTACTGCTACTTGTGTTGTTTTTATTTCTTCACTCATCGGAATTGGTCTAGTAAGTTCTAATCATATAAAACATGTATCATTCAATTCCATTTTATAGTATTTTAAAATTCAAGAACAACGTCTCCTATGGGATCCTAGTTGGATTATTGATGTCAAAGAAGTTCAACGTAAGATTTCCCATGAATTTTCTTTTTATCTTACTTTTCTCGAATACTCTAGCACTTCGTTCACAACAATCCAATAGTTTAACATCAATAAATGATCCACAAAAAACAAATTTTACTAGACGACAAACAAGCGAAACAAATTTAAGTATAACTACAAATATATCAACTATAAGTTGTGTTCAACAAATTTTTTGTCCTGTGGGTAATTTGTAAGTTATTGAAAGAATATATTCACTCAAAGAATAGAAATGATATCTTTTCTCAAATAGACGACATACTTGTGTAGCTATTCGAAAATATAAACATAAACATTTCCAGTTAACACGTCGTATACGTGAACAAGTTCGTCTTGTACGAACATTAAATCATAATAATATATGTAAATTTATGGGTGCTTCATTATCACCGAATGAAGTTATCATTTATATGGAATATATGCCAAAAGGTTCATTACGTGATGTTTTACAAAATGAAAAAATACCAATAACATGGCCATTTCGGTAAAAATATATAGAATAATATCTGTACGAAATTTGAAAAAATTGTTTTTTTGTAGATTTTCATTTGCAATGGATATTCTCAATGGATTATGTTATATTCATAGTAGACATATTATTCATGGACGATTAAATTCATCGAATTGTGTTGTTGATCAACGTTTAACAATTAAAATTACAGGTATACTTTTTTTCTAAATCTAGTATGAAAAAATTGATAATATTTTATAGACTATGGTCTTGAAAATCTTCGTCTAACGACTCTAAATACTAATTCTTATGTACAATCAGCTGAAGCGTATAAACGAGTTTATTATGCACCAGAATTAATTTCGATTCATGAATTAAAATTAACACCATCAATTGATATTTATTCATTTGGAATTATTTTAAATGAAATTGCAACTCGATCAGAACCATTTGGAGTTAGATATTTTTTCTTCGGTTTTTTTTTATAAATAATAATTATTTCTTTTAAGGATGATGATATTGAATCAATTATGAAAATAGATTATCGTCCAAAAATAGCTTTAATGACACATGATGTTAATAATGAAACTGAAGAAGATTTTTGTCCATTACCATCATCATATACACGTTTAATTAAACGATGTATTATGGAGAATCCATTTGATCGTCCAACATGTAAAGATATACAAAAAAGTTTAAAAAAAATGTGTCCATTACAAATGAGTCCGATTGATTTAATATTTAAAAAAATGTCAATTTATCAAACAAGTCTTGAACAAGCGGTACAATTAAGAACATACGAACTTGAACAAGAAAAACATAAATCGGAAAATCTTTTATATAGTATGTTTATACCATCTAGAATAATGTCAGGTGATCTGTCATGAATAAAGACAGATCAGGTTAAGGCAGAGATGGGCAACTCCAACTCCGGAGTTGTCGCTTTTTTACTTGGAGTTGGAGTGGAATTGGAATGGAGCCTTAAAAAAATCGATGGAGTTGGAGTTGCTTACCCCCGGAGTTCCCCATCTCTGAGTTAAGTCAACTCCAAATTTGAAGTTTATCAGTTTCAAGTTTTTCAATAAATTCTAGCTTGTAACTGTGTAATTTTTTCTTGAGCATCACGAGTACAGTCCGGAGTATCTATTAGGGAATACGTTTTGCGGTCAGTAAAATAATTGAGATATCAGTAAATATATTAATTGGTCAGTTTTCAAAAAAATCAGTAAACAATTCAAATGTAGTCAGTAGATTTTGTGGAAGTCGCAGTGAAAAAATATGATTTTGATCAGTAAAGAAAAGAAAAGTAGACCATCTTTGCACAAATTTATATTTTTTTACTTTCCATCCTATTTTATTTACGGATCATTTAAATTTTATTATGGGCCTATCAAATTAATTACTGACCATTTCAATAATTCTACTGATTTTTGAATTTTTTGTTTTACTGACCATTTCATTTATTCTATTGACCACTTAACTTGACCATGAAGACAAAACTTTAATTTTTTTTAGGTATGTTACCAAAAATTGTTGCTGAACAATTAAGAATTGGTCAAATCGTAACGGCCGAATACTATGATACTTGTACTATATATTTCAGGTATTAATTTGTTTTTTTGTTTAATGAAAATTAGTTTATCAACTTTTTTTTGTTTAGTGATATTGTTGGATTTACAAATATTGCAAGTCGATGTAAACCTATTGATGTTGTAGAATTTCTCAATCGAGTTTATACAACTTTTGATACAATTATTGATCGATACGATGTTTATAAAGTTGAAACAATTGGAGATGCATGTTAGTAATTTAAATATCATTTAATCGTCTCAATTTCGTATTATACTTCTTCTTTTAGATATGGTTGTTTCCGGTGTACCAAAAAAGAATGGAAATGAACATGCATATCAAATAGCAACAATGGCTCTTGAACTTATTCGTCAAACAGCAAGTCATTGTCTTATACCATATTCACAGGATGAAAAACTTCGTATTCGAGTTGGTTTACATTCAGGCCCGGTATGTGCTGGTGTTGTTGGATCGAAAATGCCTCGGTAAGAAAAATTGACTATAATTTTCTACGTAAATATATATATTTTATTTTAGATATTGTCTTTTTGGTGATACAGTTAATACTGCGTAAGTCTTATTACTTTATGAAATATGAAAAATAGATTTTCTTTATAGATCAAGAATGGAATCGAATAGTGAAGGCAAATATTTTCAATTGATTTTTTTTCGAAAATTAATAATCTTGAAAATAAATTTTAGCAAATCGAATACATATGACCAAGGATACAAAAGAATTACTTGATAAAACTGGTCGTTTTCTAATTGAAAAACGCGGAACAATGCCTATAAAAGTATAAAATTTTAATTAGATTATATTATAAAATTTGACATTTTAAATATTTTTTCTTTTTAGGGCAAAGGTGATATGGTACGTAAATTGATCTGTTTTGCTAATAAAAAAAAACTCAAAAGACATTATCTTTTAGACAACCTATTGGTTACTGGAAGAATTAGAATCAAAAAATGATTTTATAGAAAAAAATTTATTATATGTACAACCGAGTAAAATAACAATTTAACGAATTTTTGAAGAATTTATTTTTTTCGAAATTTCAGTAAGACTTCCACCGATACATAAAAAAGATCTTTCATCATCATATCTCATTCCAAGTAAATATTCGATAATAATTACTAAAAAATATTCGTAATTCTTTTAGATTCAACGAATATTTTCATACCTAATCGTTCACCATCACCACGCAAAACGACGACTTTTAATTTAATCGCTTTAGAATAAATACAATTATAATAATCTTCTTGTTTTTTCTCTTAATAAATCAAGTCCGAGTTTTAAAATAACAATAAATATCGAGTATAACTTGCTTAATCTAAGATTATCTGATAAATATCCATATGTGTTGATTATCGATAGTAATAAGCGAGGAAATGACATTTCGAAATGACGATCAAATTCAAGTATAAAATTTCTACCCACGAAATTACCTCAATTATATGATTTATAGGTCTTTTGAAATGATCTTGTTATATTGTCGAAAATTTACTATCGATTTCACATCATTTTATTATATTATTAATAATTTGTATATGTTTTGATTGAAATTTATTCATACAGAATAATTTTATCTGACATTGTTGACAAAAAATTCATATAAACGATTATTTTATATCTAGAGAAATATTAAATTTCATGTGACCGTACGAACTTTGTACTTAGAGAAAATTAGAGGAAAATATATATATAAATGCCCTTGACGACTTGAATTTATCTGTCCTTTTGTAATCAAACGGATGTCAATGAACAGTTGTTTCTCTGACTATCATTTTATGTGTATATATATATATTTAAGTATATGCGCGTATATCTTTTGCACACGTTCTTATGTCATCTATGTTTGTATGTTATTGTAGTATCCGTTATTTTCCTTTTCTCTCTCCCTCTCTCTCTGTCTCCCTTTCTTCCATGTCTTCGTCTTCTTTCATTTCACTTTTTCGTTTACACCACGTCACTACCTCTTATATCAGTATCATTCTCCCTTAGTGTTGTGTGTTTTTTTTTATAGTTACTTGTGTTTGGTCGTGCCTACATTTGATTTTAGTCGACGTGTGTTTGTGGCACATACTTCATCATTTCATTTTCGCTTTGTTGTCTATCCCTTATACGCACACGCGCATGTCAAACAGATAAGCAGTTAATATTAGCATGTTGAAATGGGCAATTATTAATAAAACTTATTGTGCTTCTCAATCGATCTGGAACAGACAACTAAATATTAAAAACGACAAAACCAAAAATTTAGGTAAGTCGTCAAGGTTTTCAAATTGACTGTTAGATCGATTACATGTCGATAAAAGCAAATCTGATTGATCGGCAATGGAAAAATAGGGGGAGGGGGTTTCTAATGACCATGTAAGAGATAGGTCATGATATTTACGCATGCTGAGAACTAGACACATACGTACACATTTGTTGGTCGATCTTGACACATCGCCTATTGTCGTCAGTCACTTGTATATGTATATATATATATACGAATAGAAGAATAAGTTGTAACAACAACAACAAATACTACTACGACGACGATATTCTAAGATCAGACATCATCAGTAGGTAAAGTATTTGAACGATTGTACATATAAACATAGAAATGACAGCTGTATAAAGTAGCCCCATTGTCTTTTTTTTCTCTCTTCTTTTCTTGCTTTCTTTCCTTCTTTTCTTTCTTCTTCTTCTCTGATGGGTGACGTTGGCCATCACTTAGTAATAGAAAAAAATCCTTTTGCGTGTTATACCCTGTGGGATTTTGACTGCTGTCAAAGCAAGAATAGCAAAAGCAGCCGCTACCGATAATGAGACTATGCCATTTGGTTTAAGGCATATAATTGTTGTTAAATCCGAAACAAAAAAACTTTTGCTCCCGTCTATCTCTGTCTGACATTCGATGCATGTTGTCATATTTATGTCAAATCTTGTCTCTAAGATTTCGACTTGTACAATTATCAATCATCTTTCACATTCACATACACGTCTCCAATAAGTCTCTGTAGCTTGTCGATTTGACACATCCTCTTGTTCTCTCTATCTATCTTTATATATATATATATATATGTTGTTATTTCAACCGATGATGCTGCCCAAAAGATACATGTTTTTCCGATTTGCTTAGTACTGCCGGAAGCGTTGATAATGGTGGGTTAAGGTTGTACACAGTAGCGTTGATATTGTCATTGTGTCTGTACACGTGTGGGAGGCAAAAAAAAATAACTAAGAGCCAAAAAAAGACTATATAAAGAAGATATTCATCACTGAATTACTGATTTATATTGTTCTCTTTTTTTTCTCTTTATATTTTATCATCAATGATAGAATACTCTCGTTCTTTCTTTCTCACACTCTTTTCTCTTGTTTGATGTCGATGTAATCACCAGTATAGCAATATGTAAAAGATCACATCCGTGCAGATACATACTGATGAGCATTACGAGAAAGAGTGAATAAAAAAAAAAGAAATAACGCCTAAGTAGTATATAGACATATATATATATATATATAAAGAATAAATTGAATTAAGTGAAAATAGGTAAGTCGGGGTTTTATTAAAATATGAAACATATGCTCCATTAGTTATTTCCTTATCAATAATTATATCACCTGACTATTTTCTTGCCTTGACTGTAGATTTTATCAAATTAATATAATCAATAAAGAAATGAATAGCTGATGTTTTTTGTTATTATTAACATATTGAATAGTAGTTTTTAGTGTTAGTAATAGAAATACATCAGTATCAAATAACATGATATATTGCTAATATAGTTCAAAGCAAGGAAGTTTCTTCTTCCTTTTAATAAGCTTTCAAAAGTGTCAACTGTTCTTTATTTCCTTTCGATAATTTTGACGTTCTTAGAGTTTCTTTTTTTTTGTGTGTGTGTGTGTGTGTCTGTTTCTAGCTTATCAACATATAATCAAAGAGCAAACATTAAGAAGAAAGACAGAGGGTGGAAGAACTTGTTGACAGAAGAAAAAAACCTAAGAGAATGAGAGAGAGGAGAGAGAGAGAGAAAAAGCATCAACGAATGAAAATAATTGTATGACACGCTTTTATGCGTCAATCATATGATGATAACTAGTTGACTGTAGATAACGAAATTGAGCAACTGGTTTAAACAAGAAGGCAAACAAACAGCTGCTCATATAGAATGTTAAGAAATACGCTTGCCATTATTTAACATTCGTTCAAGTAAAGATATATGATTAGTAATAATGATGATGATGATAATATCTTTTCTTTCATTCAGCTGATTGAATGTGTTCTTTCTTATTTCTTCTTTTCTCTACTATTTCCTAATTGTTATTGAGAAAAAGCGAATTAACATTGGCCCAAATCAATTACAGTAATGTGTATGTGTACGCAAAACAGACAGAAGAAAACGCGAAGTTCTGTTATGTAGGAGGAAGATAAGCAATGTGGGAATAATGACAGACTGTTAGCTTAAAGAGAGTAATAGTCTTTTGACATAATGCATAAACTATCTTGAGCATTATAAGAGTGATTTCTATTTGATCATATAAATATAAATATATATATTAGATCTATGTATAATTGAAGTTAAATCGTATTTTACCTTGAGGTCTTTTTCTTTGTCTCTAGCGACGTTTCAATTTTTTTCTTCTTCTTCTTATGAAGTAGAAAAGCAAAAGGCGCAGAAACAGTTGAACAAACCCCAAGGATATGTGCATATTTACTCTTATAATGGTAGTATTAGTTTTTTTTTCTTCTCTTCTCTTCTCTTCTTATTATTTCATTAGTGACATAATGAATAGATAGTCGTTTTCGTATTTCTGTTCTATAACAACCAGTGACATTTAGAATAGGTATTCTTTTGGGAAACACACGTAGAAGATAGCTATACAACCTTTGTATCTATTCTCATTATAATTATTATTTTTAATAGAAGAGAAACGAATCATATTCTAAGTGATCCATTCAATTGACGTGCATGATGTATGAGATTGAGAAATGATTCGGAAAAATGTTTGTTAGTTTTATTTTGAGTTGATAAAAGATACAATTTACGATTGATTTCTTTTCAAGTAAAAGAACAAGAATATAAGAAGACGAAAAAAAAACAGAAGTTTGTTTTTTTTTCTTCTTCTTATATTC